TCAATAAATACCTAGTAAAAATATAGGAATGGGCTTCATACTCGGGAGAGGCTTACAATCGAGGAAGTACTGTACTTTAACGCAATTGGGCTTCCACTCTCAGAATACTGTGGTTCAAACGCATAAGGCTCTAACCCAAGTTTTAAAAAGCACATTGTGCATATAAAAGTTGAGTTTATACTAGTTGTACACAATGCTTGGCAGCATGAACGGCTATGTACAATGGCGTATACGAATGCGATCCGATACTAAAACGTCATAGCTTTGAAAAGTACCCGGATGTTAACTATGTTCTTTCGTTGTTTATTCCCCTCCATGAATGGCCTCCATGGTGTTTAATTGCAAGCACTTCAAATGCCTATCCAAGCTACAGTTATAATTAAAACAAAATTAAACCACTGCAATATTATTTCGAATACAGTTTAGAATATACACAACTATAAATTAAGGCCGCATTTACGTTCGCTAAAATTAAACCTCGATTTTGTTCAATGATTCCAATATTCAAGTGTAACTAACAGACAAACATCACCATTTCTAATTTGGAAGGCCACAACAAATTGAGGCAAAAATGGGACAATGTTAGGTTCACTTGACATGTAATTGTTTAAGGTATATTGAATTATGTAATAGTTTATGGATTCAATTAATTGTTATATGTTGTATTTTTTTCTAATTTTCAGTATTGTGTATTAGTTTTTCTTTGCTCATTGAATAAAAAAAGGGAATTCAGATAAGTACTGTCACATACCATCTATGTATGAAGTTTCATTGAAATGTGATTAGAACCAAAAAATTATGTAATATTATACAAATTAGGTAATTAATATGATCTGATTTTAACCCAAAACTGAGCAGATATTTGCATTGTTCTAGAGCATCAATGTACCAAGTTTCATTGAAATGGAATAATTAGTACATGTGTCAGTGTAAATGCTGAAAATTGGCTAATTATGCAAATTAGGTAATTAATATGCACTGATTTTAACACAAACTAATCAGGTCTGTGATCTATGTACCAAGATTCATTGGCATTTATAATTAATACTTGCGATATCAGTGTAAAAGCCAAAAATTAACTAATTATGCAAATTAGTTGATTAATATGCACACATTTCTACCCAAATTTGCATTGTTCTAGATCATCTATGTACCAAGTTTCATTGAAAAGTAATGAAGTAATAGTACTTGAAATATCGAAAGCTGAAAATTGATTAATTATGCAAATTAGGTAATTAATATTTCACGTATCTGTCTGTGCATTGTCCTATGTATCTATGTAAGTTTCATTGAAATGTGATGATTAGTACCTGAGATATCAGTGGAAAAGCCGAAAATTGACTAATCATTATGCAAATTAGGTTAATTATATGCATAGATTTTTACCCCAAAAAACCAAATCTGGGATACGATAGCAATAAAGATTTATTTACTTACTTACTTTACAATTCATGAAGTATAATATCGATGTATATATCATCTTCCGTACATTATGAACCAACGAAAACAACAAGTTGATTCAAACTGATAATTAAATTTATTATAATAATAATTTATTATTATTACTATTTTATTGACTTGCATTGATATACGTTGTTAGTAATGTTTCAGAGTCTGACCGCAGACTGAGACGGACGTTTGGGTCTGTTAATAGGGCGCCGTCACCGGTTGAACTATTTTGACTGTTTGTTTTCACAAAATGACTGATGGGATATTGAACAAAATGGCTGCCCCCAATTGATGTCATGTGTTGAAAACATTTTGCGGTATTCTACCGACTCTTATGTGCCATTGCAATCTAATGCATTCAGATGGCGACTACGTCAGACTTATTAATCGAAGGAGATAAAGAGAAACTGGCCGCGCCAATAAAAACAGTAAAGGTAGGCATATTATGTCTTGTGCACCGTTGTCATTTGTAACTTGAACTTGGGTATTTATAGCTCACAGTCTATCCACAGAGAGTCCAAGAACTGTGATCAACTGTACACAGTCTCTATGAGCGAGCGGGGGGGGGGGGAGTGTATCGGCTGGTATCTAGTGTAAGAAAGTCTATCCCATGTATTTACAGCTAGCTAGCTAGCAATGAGTTTACAGTGATCTGCCTCATAAACTTAGAATGTACTTGTGGCTGGTATTATGGCAGTTGCGATACTGTGGTGTGCTCGATGAAATACAACCGTAGTAGAACCATCATTGCTCGATCGTACTCCTAGTATGGGGATTTGATGCGAAATAAAAATAAAGTAACATATTAAGATTAAAAAAACAAACAAAGACTAACAATTACAGTACAAGAGAAAACAACAACAAATAAATGTCATGACAAAAAACTGGTCAATTTGTATTCAGAAAAAAAGGTCCACACACAAGATATGAGCATCATCCGTAAGGTGGAGTAGAAATAATCCTATTAAACTGCCAGCAAACTAATATTTTACTAATTAGGTATGCACGACAGAATGCTTTGCTGAAATTTCACCAATCTTTCAAACATATCTTCAATATTGTATTCAGGATTTGGATTATGATATTGTTCTTGATTGCGAAAAATAACTGTCCAAAGTAATGTGTTATGATTGAAAGCAATATGTGAACTGTAATTTTTTTTATACTGATGGATCCACGTACCATTTATCAATTTTCTCCTGAGTGTAAGTAAACTACTTCATAATATTCTCGTTTCTCCAACAAGGAAAAATGGAAATTATTACCAGCATTTCTTAAGATCAAAGGATTGGTTCGTCAACATATAGATTCTTTTAATTATTTCATCAATGTAGAGGTAAGTATATTATGTATGCTTGATTTTTCTAAATAGTTCAAATTGCCTGTTTGAATCAAGCAAATTTGTCTAAACATTTGGCTCAAGCTGAAATCAAGAATTTTTTGCCTGATAAATTTTAGAGATTGGAACTCTGATAGTGTGAACACTGTTGGGTCATTGGCTTGGCCAAATGTTTAAATGTGGATATTATGGTTGAAATTGTGTCGCAGGTTGTACAGTCGCATTAGCCAGCATTGCTAGTCTTGATGATGTTTTTTGAATCTGTGTGATAGTTAATTATATTACCTTGACCGTACAAAACAAAAAAATGCAGTTTAGTTGTCTTGCTTTATTCAAATCTGTTCCGTAAATACATATCAAATTTATAAAACAGCAAATACCATTAGAGAAAACCACCTAATGGGTCATTACATTTTTTTTACATTATTCCATTCATCCGTGTATTGTAGTAGATTTTAGATATCTAACTTGTTATGTTTATTTTAACACCTTTATTACATTTTATAAACCAAATAGATATGTAATTCATTCTATAAGGTTGTAATAAAGAATTATCTTATCTTATCTTTTCTTATATTACCCCGGTACTATATATTATTATTATATATATTGATTTATTGTATGTTTTTTTCTTTCATACTAAATTTTGTGTCAAATAAAATATCTATCTATATTATTATATGAGGTTATTACGAGGATACCTCAAAGTGTGCACGAAGACAGTACAGCGGGAGAATCGACCGACGTAGAGCAGAGGTTGATGCAAGATGTACTGTCTGAGTGCATACTTTGAGGTTTCCTCGAAATAACCTTATTATTATACATCTTTTCCTTCCAAGAATACGTCAGCGAACTTCTTTGTGCGGAGTCCAGTCAAACCCTGGTGGCAGCCATGTTTGTTTTTATTATTAGATGACGTTTACATGTGTAATCATTCCATATTTGGAATTCACATTTTTTAATATGGTAGGATGAAAATACTCTGTAAAATACAGCAAAATTACGGCACGCTGTAACTTATAGCATTACGGTGACAGATGTATAATAATACATATTATTGCACCTATTATTTGGAAATAATGATAGTGTATTAAATGTATCCTGCCTGAAAATTCTTTTATTTACAAAAAACAAAAATGTTAATTTGCAGACTCTGAGATATTTGTGTCTGAGATATTAATAATTCTAATGGCAATATCAAACCAAATAAATGGTTCAGTGATTTCAAAAAAAGCTTCTAAACGGTAGTACCATGCACACAGAATTCAATGGTAACTTATAACCTGCTCTGTGAAGAAGAAATTAAAGCTACCTGTACCTTTTAGATCTTCCAATCCTCAAAAAAACAATAAAAAAACAATGCTCTTAAAAAAAACAAGGCCTCAGCTGAGGATAAGATCTACAATGAAATAATAAGCTTACAGCTTTCTTGGTCATTGACAGTCTTTCAAACCAACAGTTTGGATTCAGACGAGGTTGTCATACCATGGACAACCTTTTCATTTTGTAAACCCTCATTAATAAATATCTTTATAAAAGCAGGAACATAGTGAAAAAAACAAACAAATTGTACACATGTTTGATTGATTTGAAAAAAAAACATTGACAGTGTTTGGCATATTGGACTTTGCTCAAAACTACTTCAATACGGTATTACTGGGAAAATGTATGACATTATTAAAAATATGAATAGTAAAGTGAAATATAAAGTTGAATGTAAATAGATTAACAGAGAAATTTCATTCTAATTAATGTAACAAAATATATCAAAACTGGATTGGAAATCAAGCAAGGTCAATCTTTTGTTTTATTTATTTATATGTGTGTATATATGTTTTTAATAACTCGTAATTTGACTATACATGAACTTTTTTGTAATGCGTTTACTCTATTATCACAATATTTTAATATCGCACATATCTCAAGTATTATGTAAACGTGTACACTTACCTTATCGTTTATTGACTCTCGAATATATTTTTTGATCGTAAACATGGAAATAATTTTGAATCTGTAACTAAATAATGTAGTATTTTTATACTGAGAATAAAACAATAGAATGTATGTATGTATGTGTGTATGTAAATGAGGCATACACACGCTGGTACATCACTCTCTTGGTAAATTCGATTTTTCACCCTTTTATAGGTCAGTTATCACACTTTATTTCATTGCACCACTTTTGTAAATACTTTACCGTTTTAGTTGGTGCATTTCTTGTTTTGGTTTGGCAAAAATCTGCCCCGTTTTCAGTTGTTTTAGTTTTCTCTGTTTGTGTTACTCGTCAAGAGGCCCGCCAAGATGGCCGCCTCTATGATGAGTACACGTGTCAACCCCTTTGCTGGGTTGACACGAAAGCATGGAGTCAAATGCATGTCACTGGATGGCGTTAAAATTGAAAAATATGTTGAGGCTTTCTCACAGCTTTGTGGTCCGGAAAAAATTGTTGCAGCCTCTTGTGCTAATGGCAGCGTAATTTTTTTCTTTAATTCACTTGAATCTGCTGAATCTGTGTGTGCATCTGGGTGTGGAATTGAGCACACATTTATTACTATACAACCACTCGTGAAACCCGCAACGAAAGTCCTGCTATCCTGTTTATACCCTACTACAAGAACAACTTTTACGGTATGGTAAAGTAGTGAGCAAAATAAATACAATTCTACTAGGCTGCAAAAGTCACAATTTGAGACACGTTAAAAGTTTTCGCAGACAAGTATACATGCTGTGCGATCAGAATAAACTAGAAGGTGTGCTTAATGTCGTTTTTGAGGAGTGTAAATATCGCATTTATTTATCAACAGACAAAATTATTTGTTATAAATGTCACAAAAAAGGCCACACTCAACGTAACTGTAGTCAAATTATAACACCTGTACCTACACCCGCAGTCACTAACAATACAAACCCACAAACTGATATTCAAAACGATAACAAAAACGCAAATCAAAACCCAAACCATGACGATAACACTCCCCCAAATGATATGCAAACCGATTATGTTACAGATAGTGAAAACAGCACAATCTATACCATACAAAACGTTAATATAAATAAACAAATATGAATGAAGCGATCGATGCAACAGCATCTGAACCAGCTCAAAACAAACAATCTGCCACGTGTTCAGTTCTTTCTAATGCAAATGATGCCTCTCAAAATGAGTGTGTCAATGACAATACACCCAGACCCACGCCAGTACTCATTCAAACAGACCCGCATTCCACTGAAACAATTGACACAACCACTCGCTCAACTGAATCTGAACCAAACAGCTCAACAACTACCATTGGTGCGGTGGAGGTACAAACCCTTACACTGCTGTCACTGCAATGCCCATTGATGTCTTTGACAGGAAGCAGTCCTATAACTCAAAACACCTTATTGAACAAGCAAGCCAGTTTTGTCCTGACCTCCGCTTACTAATAAGATCGCTAACTGATTTCCACAAAAACAATGACCTGCCATCCAAGGAAAAGGTCCGCATCCAACGACTATCCTACAGAATCGCTAAAAATATTGGGATCGCAAGAACACCAGTTGAAAACAAACGAAGCAATGAAATCCTTGATAAAAAGCGTGGTATTTCTACTACCTGTAGTAAAAGGTCTAAAAGAGATAAACAGTAAATTGTATCATGACAACTATAATAATGAACTCTCCACTTGTGACGTACCAATGGTCTATTTGTTGTTCTCATATTCATCCATATATGAGTCTTAGTTTTATTATATTATTTATTGTTCCAATAACTGGATCTATGTTCTTCCAAATCATTGCTGGTCAGATTTTAACATCTGTCTTCTTGCCTACATTGTGCTATTTATTATCCGTATTTGTCACATTCATCAAATCAATGTTGGGGAGTGTTTTCACAGTTGAAATGAAACTCTGCTCTGCTACTAGTCTTTCAGGTCTGTTCACTATAGCAAAAATGCTTCTTGGGTATTATATGTACTGTTCAGTCATTGATATTATAAAATCAAACATGCAGATTGCTCTTGCAGTTGAACTGGTGTGTCAACTATTACTGTGGCAGCAATGTCTGTACTCTCTGACAATTTTTTACATTACTCATGGCTCAATATTATATACATAGGTATTGATTTCACAGCAGACTTTCAACTATTCTATGTTACACCTGAGTGTATAACAAGTGTACAAGCTATGGTCACCATGACAACAACGTCGTTATTTGGGTTTTGTCTATATCATACATTTTTTAATATTTTAAAATCAAACTTGATTCTTGCTCTTATAGTTTTCAACTATTCTATGTTACACATGAGTGTTCCTGTGTCAGCATTGTTTCATTGATACTATAGCCACGCTTATTATAATGCCGGCTCTTTACCTAAGATAGCTATCCTGCTTCACAACTCGTGCATAATGAGACACGAAATAGCGATTAGCATCATGAGCTACTCCTTTGTTTTTTTTAACTTTCAATACTACCAGTTTGAATTCATCTGTCTCTGTGTTAGCACCTGCAAAACATGGAATAGTCGATGTGTCTTGATTCAATGTTTTTTAAATGACATTCATGAATTGATTTTTCCTGGTCTTGTTCTCTGTTTCGTATATGCCATAATATGGCTGATGTATCTGCGCTGACATGGAACATCCATGGATGTCATGACGCATTTAAACGATACCAACTATTCGAGTTCCTCAAAATTAATCATCCTAGTGCATTTTATTTTCTACAAGAAACACACACCATCCAATCCGATGAATCTACTTGGCAAGTTGTCTGGAGGGGATTGATTATCAATAAATTAATTTCTGGCAACAAAACTACGGGAATAGATGGTCTGCCCGCTGTATATTATAAACACTTTTGGCCCATTTTGGGCACTGATCTTCACCAGGTATTTGATCGAGGCTAATCAGCTCCCTATTTCTTGTAGGCGAGCGGTCATAACGCTTCTACCAAAAAAAGGAAACACCAATCTTCTAAAAAACTGGCGGCTAGTAAGCTTGATGTGCGCTGATTA